ATTTGTAGGTCCAGAAGGTGTATAAATTTGGAACCGATAGCTTTGTAGGCCCTGAATAGTGTGTTAAAATTTGGAACCGCTTAGATTAATAGTTTTTTAGTTATCGTGCCCAACAATCATAAAAACACTGTTTCGAAGAATATAATGATTTTAAAGTTTGAGAATCACTCTTGCTGTTGTTGAGATTTTCACTTGAAATCTCTCTGAGAAATTCTTGAGAAGTTGTAGGCTCATATACTTACTTAGGTGGCTTGTGACAGGACTGTCGTTGCATAAGGCGAGCTCAAAAGAAATTTCCAATCGGATAGTTCTTTTCCGCAGTTTTTCCAATTTTAACCCTTTGAGTCCCGAATTTGTTCCCGCAATCTTAGGACAAATTTCTGTTCATAGATTTAATGCAACTATCCTAAATAGGATAGGCACAAAATTTGACATCGATATATCCTTGCATTCGGGAGATACAGTACATTCTTTCGGAAAAATTAAAGTCCAATATCAAGAAAACCAAATGCAAAATCGACAGAAAAAACATTTTAAATTATTCTCTATATTAATTTTTACAAGAATCAAAAATCAAAAAATTCTGAGGGTAGAATTTGTACAATTTGGACGCTATACACAAATTAGTACTGTACACAAATTTACCCTCTTCTCTATATTGAAAAGCTCATAACTTTACCAAATTTTTGATTTTTTTTGATTTTTCTTTTGATATGTGTCGTCCATAATTAAGTCTTCACATATGAAATCCAAATAATACATATCTACTAGATGCATATAAAATATAAGCTCTAAAACATTTTGTTGCCTGTGGGCAACATTGGGCCACAAAGGGTTAAAAACCACGTTCGTCAATGTTGATCTTTCCATATAATTCGTGGCCTTCTCATGCTGCGTGAACCATTAGCTGGTTCTCTTTTATATGATTTTTGAGCTGTGGCATCTTCATCCATTCTCGCAGCATGACTTAGCCAACGTAGTCGCTGCAGCTCGATACGACTGACCATGTCGATGTCCGCGTATAAATTGTAAAGCTCGTGGTTCATTCGACGCCGGTATTTACCGTCGACGCAAATCGGTCCGTAGATCTTTCGGAGAATTTTTCTCTCAAACACACCAAGAGCTGCCTCATCTGCATGCGCAAGTACCCATGCCTCTGATCCATATAATAGCACGGGTAGTATCAGCGTCTTGTAAAGTGTGAGTTTGGTCTGGCGGGAGGTGGCCTTGTTTTTAAAATGCTTACTTAGACCATAGTAGCATCAGTTGGCCAACACTATACTTCTCCGAATTTCAAAACTGATGTCATTAGTTTTATTTATGGCGGACCCAAGGTATATAAAATCTCCGGCTACCTCGAAGCTGTAGATCTCATGTTCCACAGTTGGTCCGAGTCTACTGGACGTCTTGCGCGTTGATACTATCAGCTTGGTCATCTCGCCGTTTACTGCCAGACACACTTTGGCAGACCCCTTTTCAATTTGTTCAAAGGTGGCAGCTCGCAATGCTCGACCCATTATTTCGATGTTATCGGCGTAGGCGAGTAATATGTGTTGTTTTGTGAATAGAGTGTCGATTCTGTTCACTTTTGCCTCTCGTATGACCCTTTCCAGCAGGATATTAAAAAGGTCACACGACGGCCTGTTACCTTGTCTGAAACCTCGTTCAGTATTAAAGTGATCCGATATGTCCTTTCCGACTTTAACTGCTGATCTTGTTCCATTTAATGTTATAAATTTTGCAGGAATGCCGAACCCGGACATGTCTTTAAACAATGCGGCTTTACAGTCGATGAATAGGTTGAATGTGCCGATGTGTTTTTCGTGGGTCTGTTCCAGGATTTGGCGCAGAGTGAAAATTTGGTATGGTCCAATAATATAATTAACAATTGACAGTAGTTCAAACTGCACGCTGGATAGCACTTTATATGCGAGGGGAAGGAGACTTATTCCTCTATAGTTGGCACATTGGATACTTCCTCTACCCAAATTGTTGATCGAAGTAGGCTTCTGCTATCTGTTGTGTTTGCAGCTTTTCGACATAGGGTTCCCGAGTCCGAACCTTGGCTGCTACTAGGTAGTGGTACGAATCGATATTCGCTTCACGGATCCGTCTATCACAGCATGCTTGAATCTGGTGCTGCTATCTACCATTTTTTTTTTCTTTTTGCTGCCGCGAAGTCAATCAACCTCATTCAGTTATCTAATATTTCTTTCTGGAGCCCGAATTTTCCGACGTGGGGCCAAAAATAGCTACCCCAGGGGACACCGCGGGGAGGTCAGTGTCCACAATTCACATGAAAGAGAGCCATGTTAAAGCCAATCAGAGCCGTTCCTTGGTATCTATTATCCCTTTACGGTTTATATTAACACTAGAACGACGAAGGCGGTTATTTTGACCGCTATCCAATTTCAAGTACAAAAGCAACTGTGCATTTAATGACATTTTTTTTTTAAATTTGGTGAACTTTTTATGATAAACGTAATTCTATGAGGTACAAAAAGCCACCATATTTTAAAAAAAGTGTCATTAAATGCACAGTTGCTTTTGTACTTGAAATTGGATAGCGGTCAAAATGACCGCCTTCGGCGTTCTAGTGTTAAATACAAAAAAAAATCGATTTTTTGGAACCGAAAATTAGGGGTCCTTTTATGTAAAATTACACAACACAAAAAAATGATCAAAAACTAATGCAAATGGTGATTATGCTAAAGCCACTTATCGTGCTCTGGTTAGGAGCTTATGGTTTACATAATAGTCCAACTACACAAGCAATTGTCAAAATCTTGAAGCAATTTAAAGAAACTGGATGAATTAAAAATTCAGCGATGAAACCCATTTCATACTCGGTGGTAATGTTAACAAACCAAATTGTTGTTTTTGAGGTTCTGCGAATCCGCAAGTAATTGAGGATTTGGTGCATTTCTTAGTCCGAAGGTGTTAATGAACCTTAATTTTTCGAAAAAGACGATGCAACGATTGTTACCATCAATTCGGAGCGTCATGGTCATATAAAAACAGTTTTTTTGCCTGCTTGAAGAATTCTACTTTACGAATGATGTGGTTTCAAAAAGACGGTCACAGGTTATGTTATCCAATTTCAGTACTTAAAATCAATCTATAATATAAGGAGCTGTATCTAAATCTTGACCGATTTTCACGAAACTTGGCACACATTAGTCTGGATTAAATTCAGTACGCTATGCCAAATGTCGTGCAAATCGAAGGATATATAGGGACTTTGGTGCACCATTTACATGAAATCGGACGAAACTATATATGGGAGCTATATCTAAATCTGTACCGATGTTCACGAAACTTGGCAGATATCATTCTAGGTTCAATTCAGTACGTTGTGCCAAATTTCGTGCAAATCGACAGATATATAGGGTCTTTAGTACACAATTTACATTAAATCGGACGATACTATATATGGGCGCTATATCTAAATCTGGACCGATTTTCACGAATCTTGGCAGATATAATTCTAGGTTCAATTCAGTACGTTGTGCCAAATTTCGTGCATATCGAAAGATACATAGGGACTTTGGTGCACCATTTACATGAAATCGGACGAAAATATATATGGGAGCTATATCTAAATCTGAACCGATTTTTCCCAATTTCAATAGGGTTTGTCCTTGGACCAAATTAATGAGCAGTGCCAAATTTCATCCAATTCGGTTGATAAATGCGACCTGTACTTTGTTTACAATTTAACATGGACAGGCAGACGGGCGGACGGACGGACATGCATAAATCGACACAGAAAGTGATTCTATACATATTCTCAAAAGGAACCATGAGTCTATCTCGATTATTTTTGCCTGTTACAAACATATGCACAAAGACATTAAACCCTGTACCACAGTGTGGTGAAGGGTATAAAAAAAAATCCTCAAGTTATGGCTGATATAACGACCAATATGTGCCGAAGGTGTTCGAAAATTACGTCAAGTGAATCTATATGGAGGTCATTGAAGTGATAGGAAACATGGAGAATAAGACTGTAACCTTTATTACACACGGCTGGCTTAATGTATCCAATGTGAAGATATAGTGGGCCACATTGTCATTTCTACCAGTATTAGTCATTATGTCGATTGATTTGATCTTTTTTAAAATAAAAATCTACAAAATCCGCTATATACGTCATTTGATGTTGTCTCATTTGTGATTTCTTGTTGTTAATAAATTGATTGGAGCATTCATAAATTATATTGGACAAAAATTCTTTAACTATGTTGTATAATTTGATGTCGACATCTCTTGTTTTTGTTGTTGGTGTTGCTGTATATTAATAAAATTTAATTACTCTCAAGTTAACACCATCACTGCACCCATATTTGTTGTGTTAATTGTGACCATTGATCGGAAGAATTTGTTGATTGACTAAAAATTAAATTTGTTAAATATGGATTTTTTTGTATTTTGCAACCAAAAACACCCAAATTCTTGTTGAAGAAGCTACGCTATCTTGGTTGTATTATTATTATTTTTTTTTTGTTTTCTGTTTTGCTGAAGCCAATGGAAAAGCAGAAAACAATTAACAACAAGAACAACTGTCGAACATTGTACACCACCAGTAAGTTAAAAAAAACAAGAACTTTGCCATTAATCACAAAGTATTTAACACTAGCTTAATTCGGTAATAAATGTGTTAAATTTAAAACGAAACTGACGATAATGAGACAATGGAAAACGGAAAGAGTTTCTTGTTTAACTTGAAGAGAAGGAAAATATGATCTGCAAGACATCAGTAACCCTGTACGAATACTACGAATTGACAAAAATTATTCAACTTCCTATTTTTATTAACAATTAGTTGCAGTTATTTTTAGGAAATAAAAGTTGCAGAACGAAAAATGTTCTAACTTATATTCGAATTCATTAATATTGAGATTACAAATATGATTTAAATTTGAAGGATGTATATAAATGGTCTGGGCACTGACCTACATCTCAATTCCTAATTTTAATTGTTTTCAATTCCAACTTACCGAATTGTTATTTTGGAGATGTGGCAATTTAACAACCTGAAATAAAGAAAAATTAAAAGACAACAATTTAAATAAAATAAACAATAGAATTTTAAAAATATTTATTAAAATTGTTAAGTTTCTTAAAAAAACTTTAACTTATTGGCCAATTTTGTTACACCCTTCGTCATAAGGGAACTGTTGAAATGTCCCATATCAATAGTAATGTTATATGACTCACAAACTTGGATCTTTTTACAGAAGAAAAATCGGAAGGTTTAATCATACCCAAGCTATAAATGTTAAAATTCTTCGCATGATTGTTCACCACTTACTCGGAAAATATAGGAGGAGAAAATTTGGCTAGAACTTTCTACTGCACACAAACCGTAGTGACAATGTGTAGCACTGGGAAAAGAAATGCAGAAATAGTTAATCAAGTTGACGTCTTAATCAGTACTAGAACATTTTCATAAAAAATATGAAAATATGGGTCAAGAATACGCCACCATTAGGTGGAGAATATTTTATATGTGTTTATATGTTTATATGTGTTGAACTTCGAAATATATTTGAGTACTCGACTTTTTGAGAGTACATCTATAATTTTTGATGCATAGATTAAGAAAAAATGTTTTATTATAACCTCCGCCTTACGGCTAATGAGGGTATATATACTTTGCTACGGCAAAAATGTGCCTCATAGAAGTATTGGTTTTATACTCCATGGTTTTTTGGACCAAATCAGTTTCAAACATATTGGACTCATTTACCACTCCTTCTGGTATCTCCCCTAGGAAGGGTCTATATTTCGAAAACTTGTAAATCTCATATGAAGCGAATGCAATAGCCAATTTCATCCAAGCTTTGCACAACGCAATATTTTTACCAATCCTATCGGCCCTCTTCTTCTGGCACTTCTCACACAAAGTGTCAAAATATTGAATATTCATAAATCTAATATAAAGCGATTGGAATGTCCGATTTGGTCCAAGCTGTTCACATCGTAACATTTCTTTCAAACTTAAATCTAGTTCGAATATGGGGAATGAATATCGGTTCACTCGTTCTGGTCTAAATTTTGCTGAAAATAAATTGGGAACATACAATCTGATTTGAACCAACCCTCAGCCTATAATACATATTTTGAATTTTGTATGCTATTTTGGTTTGTGAAGTTCATCAAAATTACTATCTAGGCTTTTATAAGGTCTGCTGGACCACGATATATTGATACTGTACTACCCTTTAATATGCCCATTGTCATATCTTGAATAGCTGATTCGATCTAGACACGTGTATCCGTCCTCTGTTCATTTTAATTTTTTGAACAAAATACAGGCTAAAGTTGGCAGCAAGTCTTCGCGACATTTGGTTCGGGTCAATGACTACATTTATTGTTTTTGGTAATGATCGGGTTATATTTATATGATCAAATGATATAAATGATTTGTCTGTGATGTTAGAGGTCCCGATTGTGACCTCTAGTGTCACAGGAGAAAAAGATCTGACCAACGAATAACCATGGCTGAATGGATGATGACCTGTCAATATTTAACGGATTGAAATAGGATTAAGAAATGTTCAACAATTTTGAAATGTTGTGGGGAAAACACAAAAAGGAGTGGACTTGATTTAGGATTATTGAAATTATTACGATGTGTATTCCGCTCTGTACATGGGGCAGACGGACATAGGTTCGAAATTACCTGAAACGAATTTGGTCCAAATCGTCACACTTTCGTCTTAGGATTTGATTATTTTTTGCAACCTCGTATCAAATATTGATGTGTTTTTACATAAGATTAGATACATTCTTAATGATTATGAGATTCTCTATTAACCCACACCAACACAATCATATAATTTTTTTATTTATGACCATTTTAAATAGTATTTTCCTTAATTTAATTAATTTAATAAATAACTATATCAGATCTAAAATATTGCCTTAGGTATTTGAATTTAGTTGTAACTTGCATTTTAGCAATTAAAATAAATAAATCTTAATTGCTGTCTCTACGTATTCCAATTTTTTTAAAATCGCTTAATGATAGATCTCTCGCTATTAATAAACTAAACAAAAATCGATGCTTTAATTTAATTAATCGAATACTTCTATATTTATATACAAGAAAAATATTTTGGAGTTCAATGAACTGTTGCCGAAGAAATTTATACTAAATCACACCTTTGCGAAACATCAATCAGATTTTATGTTAATTAATTTGTCTTGTCGATCTAATTAAATAAAACATTTAATCAATGTCTTACTTTAATGTTTTACTAAAAATATATATATAACAAAAAAAAAAAAAAAAAAAAAAAAAAAAAACACGAAAAAGATGAAAAAAGAAATGATATGAAATGATAGTGCTATGTATAATTAATATATACCCTACGTAGCTAGTGTGTTATTATAATTTCGATTAAAAGCTTGTAACAATAGGAAATATTCGTCACAGACGTTACCAGATTTCGAAAATACGAAGGAAAACATGGGTTAACAACATTATTTGGACTCACAGTCATTTCGTTTTCGGGTATTAGGTCCGACGGGCTACATACTCGAAACGGTTCCACTGTCCTCCGTGTTTAGCAGAGCCAGATAACCGAGTAGTTATGACTTCTGTTTGTAGACCTTCAGGTCGGCGGGTTCCTGGTTGTTTTGTATCCATGAGGGTATGTTGATTGTGCTTTGGATGTTTCTCATTTTTATGAAATAGTAATACCATGCTGTTAGCCTGGTGTTATTAATTCAAAATTATAGTATTTAAATCTCTGTAAACGATCAGAGACAATTCTGTGGATTATTATCACCGAAGTAGAAATTTATGGTTTATCTGTGGCCAGCCTCAAATTAGTTAGGATTCAGGGACCCCTATGTCCGCGGATTTAGCATAGGAGGTTAGTGTAGGCATAGCAGGGTGTATAGAAGCATTGTAAGCAGGCACTGACTCAAAGAAAGTTTAAAATAATCTCCGTCCAAATATTAGTGATGTATTGACTGTTTTAATAATCTCCGTTTAAAATAATCTTCGTCCAAATATCAGTGATGTATTGACTGGTGTTTAAAGGATCGTAGGGTTAGCCCGTAAGTTAGGTACTATGAGCAGTTCCGAAACTGCTTGAGAAACAGAACGTCAATTAACTTCAAACTAGCTTTTCGAAGATAATGGACATTTTCGATGAAAAGGGACCACCGACTGTGTTAGCAAGGGCGAACATAATACAGCTGGCTCAAAAAAAAAATTGATAAGAACAAATATAGTTCTTCAAAATTCGACACAAAGAAATCATCAATTCGGGTGGGGCTACACCTAAATGTAGAACTTTATTGAAAATTGTCTGCAAGTGGTTATTTTAGCTGAAATCAGGACGATCCGAGTCTCGTAGAGCTGAGGCATTTTGGTTTTATGAACTTTATAGTTAACGGTTTCTGAGTAAATAATGGGTTATCCATGTCGTGGTCTCAAAAGTATGGGACTATAATTCGATATCTGTTTAAGTTGTTAAACATTTTTATACCCTTTACCACACTGTGGTACAATGGATTATGTATTTGTACATACGTTTGTAACAGGCAAACGGAATCCAGATAGACCCATGGTTCCTTTTGAGAATATGCATAGAATCACTTTCAGAGTCGATTTATGCATGTCCGTCCGTTCGTTCGTTCGTCCGTTGATGTTAAATTGTAAACAATGTACAGGTCGCATTTATGATCCGATTTGGACAAAATTTGGCACAGCTCACTTATTTGGCCCAAGGACGAACCCTATTGAATTGGGAAAAATCGGTTCAGATTTACATATAGCTCCCATATATATTTTCCGCCGATTTTAGGTAAATGGTGTACCAAAGTCCCTACATATCTTTCGATTTGCACGAAATTTGGTATATCCTATTGAATTAGGTCTATAATGACAGACCTAAGTTTCGTGAAAATCGAAACTTATAGTTTCGCCCGATTTTAGGTAAATGGTGCCCCAAAGTCTCTGCCATTCTTTTGATTGGCAAGAATTTTGGCATAGCGTACTAAATTAAGTCTAGAATGATGTGTACACCTCCTATATATATTTTCGTCCGGTTTTAAGTAAATTGTGCACTAAAGATCCATAGCTAGGCCGATTGACATAACGTACTGAAGTTAATATAAATTCATCTGTTTCAGGTTTGCTTAAAATCGGTTCAGATATAGATATATCGTAGCTTCCATATATAATTTCGACTTATTTATGTTATAGTCAATGGGTGTCTGATTGAGATAATATTTTAAACAGTGCAGCGACGTATTTTCGGATATACTACTTTCCTTACAGGTTTTCTTTTTAGTTGAAAGTCTGACATTGATGAAAATGGATCGCTTAAGTATCACACGAGTCTTTACAATTTATGGTCGTCTAAATACGCAAGCAATTGGCAAAATTGCCAAAAAAAATTAAGAGACCGGATCTCATTCCGCTAAATATATAGCTGCTAAGAGTGTAAGAAATGCCGGAGATCTGAATGTGTCATCTCCTCGCCGTCCTCATACATAAATGAGTTCATGTAGGAGTTTAACAAGGGATACACCATTGTATAAGCTAATTCTGTATAAACATCCTATATGAGTTGTTTATTTTGAAAGCGGTTTAAGTCATTTTAGGTTCTAATACAAATCCTGGTTTTCCCGTATGTTAGGTTTACAAAACATATTATGTTATAAATATATTCTATCATGTTTAAGCGCACAAAGCGCAAACAAATTTTTTCTTTACAATATTTTTGAAACAAATCAAACCCAAAACTTTAAATAAATCAATATAAGAAAAAATGGACTTAAACCGTTTTTATAATAAACGATTTATATAGCTGTTAATTACAGTGTTCTAATTACCTACTAAGCAAATAACATTATGCTCTAACACAGGCTTCGACGCGTTAAAGGTCTTTTAACAGAGCCTTTAATGTTTACCATTATTATAATTATAATGAGAAACACTCACTCAAGACTATTTTTTATTAGATAATTATAATAAAGTTAACAAGTTTGTATATTTCTTTTTTATCTTTATAAATTAAACTTCCTCAAATAAATTAATAACAACATTAACACAAATTAAAAAAATATATAAATACATGGTTAAGACAATGCAAACAACCTGGAAATATGTCGACCGGGAACAGCATAATCATAGCCTGGTCTTCGGGGCCTAAACGAAAATGGTTTGATTATGGGCGCCCTAAACAGTGGTGTTGTTGTGGGCATAACGTTCAACGGTTTGCTACTGAGGGATGAAACGGCTGAGGGTACATTTGGTGCTTTGACGTCCAGTGTATAGGAGGTTGAAAGTGAAGGTATCACTTCGACAATAACATGAGATGATGTTTTAGGCTCAGTTGGTGCCAAAATTGGCTGTTGGGGTGTGAGAGCTGCCAAAGCCTTTTGTGTCTTCAAATCATTGGCCATATCCAGCGGTGCTAACGGTAAAACAGAGGTACGTGGCGGTGCATCATATAAGAAACCGTTATCCGTCGAAATTAATTCCGAAGCATCCGCTACACTGTATTGGGCCAGCAGCAAAAACAGCGAGCAGATGATGAACTGCAAAAATTTAAACAATGAATGAATGAAGCTCACGAAAAAAACAAAATAAAACCACAAAAAATACAACAAATGAGTGAGTGAATTTAAACAACAGCAAGGCAATAAAAATAAAATCAATCCAATTTGAGTGGTTTTCGGTTTATTGCCTGACATTCATCTTCCATTTGGAGGGGTAAATTAATTAATTGTTAAATTTGCATAGATGATTTTTTTTATAAATGAAACGTAAAAAGAAGAAAAAACTGACCATTTCGTGTTGTTTTCTTTCAACTTGACTTTAAGAATGAATTATGGTTTTTTGCTTTTTTTTCAAAATATTAACTGAATATATTTGAAACGATGCGTAACGTATTTATATGAATTTAAAATTCATTTATCTCTTAGTTGTGTCTCTCGGATTGCCAAATATTTAAATGCTAAATAACTTAAAAACATATTTAGTTTTTCAAGAAGATGAGAAGGCCTATAACAAATGGAATGGAAAGAAAATAGATGAAACTAAAAGCGAAATTAAAAATGTGTGTTGAAAAAAAGTCAAGGTTTTCAAAACATTTTTCGAGTCACATATCATTAGAAAGATTAGGGTGTACGGAACGAAGCAATGTACAGTGTTTTCACAAGAAAACAATTATTTTTAAAAGTGAATCTTCAAAGAATATCTTTCGAGTAACCATTAAGAGTTTATTTTATAAATAAGTCATTTTCAAGAAGGTTCTGTGGATTTTTATGGAATTTCCCTACATTTCTAGCATGGATCAACAGACCACGAAAAATCAACAGACCACGAAGTGTGGTTGTTTTTTACCACCATTAGGTCGAGCGTGTATTAAATGTGTCATTCTGATTCCAAATTTTGACAGATAAAAAGCTTAGTCAAGATTTGATGTGTACTTCAGTTGTTTACTATTAGACACAAATGGACCAAAGAACCAAAGTATTCAGGCATATTGAACTATGTGACTTAACAAAGGTGGTAAGATGAAATTTTTGTATTTATATCGGAAGAAATTTCGAAATTTCAATTCAAAATTTTCAAGATTCGATATTTAGTCTCATCTCCAGAAGCAGTCCTTTTCAAAGCCGATTTTTGTTGCGATAGATATTTGTCCACACACCTACAATTGCTTCCACAGTATTCCCCTTTTTCAACCTTTAGAAGTGTTTTGATTGTTTAGAACGCTGATTGTTTATGATCGACGTTTTTTAATGAAAAGGAAAGCCAGATGGTGGGTGGGTAGGTTTGCACTCGGCTTTTCCTTTACATTATAAAACTTCGATCATAAAACTCAACTGGAAAGAGAACCAGTAAGGAAAGAAGTAAAGTCGGACTGGGCCGATTATATGATACCCTTCACCACTTTAGGTATATTCTACATATGTACATATTTTTACTTTTTAAAGAATATTTGTTTCGACCCACTTCGAAGCGTGGTTTTATTAAAAAATATTATCGATATAATAAGAATTTTAGTCAAATTAGTGGATCCCCATTTAAAATTGTCAAAGAAGATTTTTGTTGAATTTAACTGATGAATGTTCATGTTTTGACTTTGCTGCAGTATAAGAGCCTGTCCAATTACGCTTTTACTTTTTAAAGACGATTTTTTCAAGCACCCATCAAGCTTGGATTTTTGAAGCTACCACTACGGTTTAATTGACTTTTTTTAAACAATTTTTTTTAACATATCAAACGTTTTTTGAGAAATATTTTTTGAGCCACCTTCAATAAATCGAAATAGACTCATGGTTCCTTTTCAGAATATGCATAGAATAATTTATAAGTCGATTTATGTATGTCCGTTCGTCAATGTATTTTTGTGAGCAAATTACAGGTCCGATTCGGATGAAATTTGGCACAGGTCACTTATTTGTCCCTAGAACTAATCTTATTGAAATTGGAGCAAATGGGTTCAGATTTAGATATAGCTCCCATATATAGTTTCGTCGGATTCTAAGTAAATGGTGCACCAAACTCCCAATATTGGTCCGATTGAGACAACATTTTGCACAGAGTACAGAATTAGGTCCTGATTGATGTGTGAGTTTTGTTGGAATCGGTTTATATTTAGATACAAATCTCAAATACAGTTTCGTCCGATTTTATGTAAATGAAAGATCACATATATATTTCTTCTATTGAGACAA